GTTGTCACCCCCTCCCCACCCCAACCCCACACACACCTCACAACCCCACCCCAAACCCCTCTCCAAATAAAAATTTTTAAGGGGGTGACAACCATTATTGGCATGAGTATAAATGATAGTATCTATCAATGTTATCAAGAAGGGGATCAAACTACATTTGGTCTCAGGTCAAATGACCGTTCTCTTTTTGCATGTTTAGTTTAAAGATTTAATTCAGAGTGAAAAGGATCGGGGACAAGTTCTTGAAACAGAACTATTAGACAAGTATATTTAATGGCGTTAAACATAATTTTCTGATGCTGTTTGTGAACTGAACACTCAAAGAAATAATAATGAGCATTTTCGTATGGGTTACCACATGTGCATGATGGATCTACAATTAACCCTACTCGGTATATATAAACATCGTAACTTAATTTACTTCCCGTATATGACGTATGCAGTATATTCAGTTTTTCAGTACCGTAAGAAATATGCAGTGCAATGCATTGAGATATTAGATGTTTATATGTTCAACAATCGGATCGTGTATGGAAAAACCACTCGGTGTGTTATGTTTTATGATGAAAACACGCATGCTTATCATCACAAGCGTATCTGAGCCTGTGTTGAGCGTTAGATATGAAGCATAAGTGAGATGGGTTTTACACCGAACGCCAAAAAAACAAAAACAAACAAACTATTTTTAATATTTCGAATAAATCCTGGAGGAGTAACCTTGCCTCGTGTTGAGAATTGTAAATGTTAAAATAAGATCGTGATATTTCGGTATTCGTCTCATCAGTGTTTCATCACATAAACGGATCCAGAAGGAGGGTGCACGGGCGCAGCCCCCTTTGTCCTGAAGGTTTATTAAATGACCATTGAAAACGGGTGAAAATGAAGTGTGCACACACTCTCCTCCCCTTCTCAAAAGCTGTGTCCGCCCTGTCATCATATGTAAGTCACAAGTTTTAGAGTGAATGCATGCATGTGGTTAATACATGAAGCCCTATACAAAAAGTGTCAACAACGTCTTCATCTCATGCGTAAACTGAGATCTTTTAATGTTAACCCATCTGTGATGTCATCTTTTTATGTAGCATTTATTCAGAGTATTTTGACATTTACCTTCCATTGTTGGTACGGGTCTCTCTAAGTTCATCTCAAATCTAAAATAGACAAAATTGTTAACACTGCAAGTAAAATCGCTGGAGTCAGATTTGAATGTTTATCAATATGTGAGCGGCAAATCGTGAATCATGCTGTCAAAATCATATCTGACCGTACTCACTACTTAAATTCGGAATACAACCTCCTCCCTTCAGGCCGCCGCTACAAAGTTCCAATTGTGAAAACTCAGAGAGCCCGTACATCCTTTATTCCAAGTACCATATCTCTCTTAAACAAATGTGAAGATACCTAAATCAAAGAAGTTATGTAAATATGTTTGGTATCTCTCTCTAATGTGTCAGTAGCTCTGCTGATGTAACACAAATTCCTGAAAAGGCATTAAAGTATTCTTCTTCTTCTTCTTCTTCTTCTTCTTCTTCTTCTTCTTCTACATCTTCGTTGCTGTAGCTGGTGTATCATGATCAGACACTCCAGTGGGTGATACCATCAGCATCGTCTTCCGTCCGTCCCGTAATCCTGTGTCGTAAGATTTCTTATCACTTGATACAGTAATAATTTCCCCGTATATGCATTTTTTTGCTCCAAGCGGGGGAAGATAACCGATATCTGACCCCTCAATTTCGTGTGCGGCGTCATGGAACGTACAACAATATAATGACGTCATGTGTTCCATGATTTCTTATTTAGTTGCGGAAACTTACATGTATAATGAAAATGTCATTCGATCGGACGGTAGCGTCGCTTGCCAACAGATTCATGGAACCAGAGGTGAGGTGAGGTGAAACTGGGTTTTACGTCGTACTTGAGAATATTTCGCTCATATGACGATGTGCATGCGTGTGTATGTGTATGTGCGGCTGCTTGTACTAGCCCAGACTGAAGCTGGTTTTATAGTACTAGCCCACTGAGATACCATGCCGCAGTGAAGCATGAATACCCCACTCAGACACATTATACTGACTCCGAACCGACCAGTCCTTGTTGTACCCATTAATGCCGAGCGTCAGGCAGGGACCAACAAGTACCATATTTTATCGTCTTTTGGTATGACGCGGTCGGGGATCGAAGCCGCGACCTTCCGCTCCCCGGGCGGACGCTCTAACCACTACACCACAGAGGCGGTCTGGAACCAGACATTCCAGTAATCAACAATATGAACATCGATCTTTGCAATTGGGATACAATGCATGTGTCAACCAAGTCAGCAAGCCTGACCATCCGATCCCGTTAGGCGCCTCTTACGACAAGCATGGGTTACTGAAGATCAATTCTAACCCAGATCACTTTTTTTTTAACTTTCTTCTTTTTCATGCGAACGCAGATGTGGCGCTTAAATAACCGGATTACTGTTGAATGTCTATGGTGAGTGAGTTTAGTTTTACGCCGCTTTTAGCAATATTTCAGCAATAGAAAGGTGGGGGACACCGGAAATGGGCTTCACACATTGTACCCATGTGGTGAATCGAACCTGGTTTATCGGCGGGACGAACGTTAAAGACCAGTATTCAACTCCACAGCTGCTGAATATCTAGAAACACTTTCAGGCGCGTAGCTAGCCAATTTTTTTCGTGTAAGCCCGATAGGTTGCAAAGCTTTATATTTTTCAGATTCAGATTCAGTTTATTCGGCTATTCCACAGTGGACAATATATTTACTCTGCAAATTCTCTGTTCTAAATATCTTTCAAGACCAAAGGGACGATTTTTTTGTGCCTTTGTTGATTTTAGAAAGGCTTTCGATTATGTAGATCGTTCAAAACTTTTATATACGTTGTTAAAATCAGGTTATCATGGAAAAATGTACAATCTTCTGCATAATATGTATTCATCTGTTAGATCTTGTGTAAAAATTGGAAATTGCAAAACTGATATGTTCTTCACTAGTTCAGGTGTACGGCAAGGATGCATTTTAAGTCCGCTTCTAACTTGCCACAGAAATTCATAATAAATGTAAACATGGTGTTTTTATATCTCCAGATATTGAGGATATTATGATGTTATTATTTGCAGATGATGTTAATATGTTCTCTTACACTATCATTGGTCTTCAGCAACAGTTAAATGTTCTCCATGAATTTTGCACGAGATGGGGTTTAAGTGTGAATTTAGAAAAAACAAATGTTATTGTGTTTAGAAATGGTGGTGTTTTACAAAAAGAAAGAAAAATGGTACTATGGAAATGTAAAACTTAAATGTGCTTAATATTATAAATACCTGGGTTTGATATTTTCCTCAAGATTACATTGGTCAACAGCGTGTACAAGTTTGGCAACACAAGCATCTAAGGCAGCCTACTCTGTTTATAATTTATTCAAAACTAACTCTTTTATTTCTTTCCAAAATGCTTTTATCATCTTTGATTGTAAAATAATGCCTATTCTTTCATATGGATCAGAAATGTGGGGTATGACTTAGTTTCATTGTATAGAAAAAGGTACAAACTACATTTTTAAAACAATTTCTAAATCTAGGTAAATTTGCTTCTAATAAGGCTAAATACGGAGAAACTGGTAGATGTAATATGTTTGTGTTCAGCAGAATAAGAGCAGTTAAATATTGGTTAAAGTTGGTAGAAATGCATTACACAAAACAGTGTTATCTTGTTTTGAAATCACAAGATGATATTGGTAAAGTTAACTGGGTGTCTAATGTTAAACTATTACTCTTTTCTACCGGATTTTCCTATGTATGGCTTGCCCAAGGGCTTGGCAATGAAGACTGTTTTATATCTCTTTTCAAACAGCGCGTATGTGATATTTTCATTCAAGAGTACTTCTAGATGTCTAGAATATTATGCCTCTCATAAGTCGTTGCTAGAACCAGAATCGTATATCTTAAATTTTCATGATAAATGTTTGATAAGAGATTTATGTAAATTAAGAATTGTTTTTTTATGATTTCTGTGTAAATAGGGCACGTAAACATCGTATTTCTTCAGAATGTAAAACAGATTTGATCTGTTCTAATTGTACTACAGGCGCTATAGAGGATGAGTTCCATGTCATGTTTGTATGTACCAAGTATCTAAGTTTGCGAAAAAAGTATATGCCACTTCTTTCAAACACTGTATTAGACAAACATTCACTGTCAAATTTGTTAAATTCTAAGAATATTATGATTTTTAAGTCTGGAGCAATTTATCTCAAACATGTTTTCACTGTGCGTAGCCATAAATGTAACCATGAATGTAACCATAAGTTCACGTGACTTGCTTAGTATTTGGTAACATCAACAATTGTAATGTAGGCCTTAAGGCCAGAATTACCGAATAAGCTTTAGATTTAGATAGTACTGAGGGCTTGCCCAACATTCATTTTCAAAATCATGTGTAAGCCCGGGCTTTTTTTATAATGGTAGGTACGCTCCTGACTTTTGAATGTGTTTAAGGTATTCAGTATTCATTCATTTTGTATTTAAATAAATTTAAAGACTTTGACGTTTGCTAGATATATGTCAGGCTAGACTAACTTAGAATCGAGTCAATATTATATGGCACAATGCATTTCTGTCTTCTCGTTCTTTCTACCTCTAATTCCACAGATTATAGTTAGCTTGGCTTGTCCATTTCATATCTTAGTTGCAGATATTCGAATAGTCTGTCTCTCAGAGCTAGGGAATAAATTGAAAAAATGAGTCCAGGTTAAGTCTAGAGTGATAGGCAAGTAAGATTGCCTCAGCTCTAAGCATGGAATTATTGATTGTCCTTTGCGTATTTTAGATTTTATCTATTTTATTTTCTTGATCCTTTTCTTGTTAAATGTTTATATTCGAAGGCGATATGTTTATTTCTGGGACTAAGTACCAGTCCACTATTTGAAACCTATTGTCCGTATTTTACTGATACAGTTATATAGGCATTAGCTGGTTAAACTGATCCGGATTTATCAACTTTGACCTTGCGGCCTTGCCAGCCAGTTGTGATCCGTGAATTATGAAAGTGTATTGTTAAAGGGGTTCTTACTAGGTACGTTGAGTCAAGATTCTCTTGTATGTTATAACAGTTATATCTTTGTGAACGATGAACCAATGGCTGTTGGGGTTTGCTTCCCACATGTCTCTTGTTTTCGTGATAGATCTGTGTCTGGGCTGACATTCAATGTTCCCGGCTCCATAACGCCGTGCACATGGCTCTACCTAGCTAGACCTGTAGACTAGTGTCAGCTGTCAGGATCGCGAGGGCTGTTTGTTGGCTTGAGATACAGGAATCAACGCACTATTTAATTTTGAGTTTTTAAGGCAAGCTATTCCAGTTAAATGGGATCAAGTTTACTACTGATTTAGAGGCAGACAATTTTACAAGAAAGTTTAAAATTTTGATTTTGGTTGCCAATAGCTGATAAATCACATTATATAGCTCTGCGCCGAGAGTGGTTCAAGCATATAATCAGCAGGCGAGGAATGCCAAAGCAGTAGATACATTGATTACCTTTAGTCTTTGTGAGTTTGTCGCTGTGAAATCGTAACTTCAAAGTCATACCTGTTTTATTGTGATAATGGAATCTGTTCACTAACTAACCGGTCTCAAAGGGTTGTCTAGATTAATGTGAGGGTAGGTTACCATACCTACCCACACATCATCTTTAGCCCTTTAATCCCTTGTTGGATCAATGACCCAGTATTTCGTTAGGGTTAGGTAACCGTTTAATGGCGAACACGTTTTGTAATGGCTCCTTGATTTTGCACCAGCCTTTCCAGACTCTGCCAGAACAAAAAATATGGAATAAGATGAAAATTATGATCTGCTGATTATAGTTCCATGTTCCCAAGCCATTTTGGAGCACAGATACAAAACATTAAAGCATGAATCATACCTTTTTATTAGTGGCCATTAGATGTCAGATAGTATATGTGGAGCAGTCAACATAGCTCTGATTTTGCAGCTAGGAGTGTTATGTTTATCTTTTTAGAAATAACAAGTTCACTTCTCTTTCAGGGTAATGGCTGCTAGGTGCTTCCTGCGATGCATTGTGGTTCCTCAGTATAGGGCGACAGCGAGGGGGCCACAAGTACCTGGGTTGAAGTGGATACGATGCTGGTGTCAAGGACGTTCCAGTGTTGTGGAGGGGAGAACCAGCGTGGTGACGGCCAGGGTGGACAGGCGTGAGGACAGTTTCACTCTGCTTCCGCGGGGCATCCCGGCTGACAAGGATGATGTGAGTTTCACTTCTCATATGCAGTTAGATTATTGTAGGGATGGATAAAAAAGATCAATTATCAGAAATATATCCAATGATAAGAATTATTGATTGATGATATGAAAATTGTTATCGATAATGTATGTGACTTACTGTGATGAAATAAATATACAGAACGTCATATACTGGGAAATCTGGAAAGAGCACCTTTAGAATACAGCACAACTCGTGAGGACGATCTCTGCCGTGTGTCACGTGTCATTAAGACAAGCAACCAGTTTGTGAAAACCCGTCGGACACGAACCCGCGACCTATGGATTGTTAGCTCAACAGCTACCCAACTGAGCTACGTCCACACTGTTACACAATGTGCAAATTTCCTGTGAGGTCACGGATATAAACGGAAAGAGTCGAATAGGTCACGGACAATTACGATGGTTACGGGTAGAATTGGTGTCTCGTGATTTTAATCTACGGACAATTGCCGAATGGACCCGATGCCATTTGGCACACTCGTCCAATTCCGTAATCTACAAGATACTGTGTGGCGTGGAATGAGCCGATATGCCTCAAACTGAAAAGGGTTGTTGACGTCAGATGTTGATTTCACGGTGCATGCATGAATGGCGCGCTTTTATAAAAATAGGGTGATTTTGTGACAGAAAAGTGATGTAGGTAAATCTGTAAAAATAATGTGGATCGCGCTAAGGAACAAGGGAGATATGAGCATGTCTAGTGACGGCACGAGGGTGAGTTAGCCTTCGAATCATTACTGAACAAATGTTGCGTGTGAAAGAGGCATGAGTGCAAATTCCAGGCCAACTTCCATTAGCCCAAAATTTCTACATCAAACCATTTCATAGTGTACTTTCGATGTTTTTGGTTTCCTGTTTTTGTGTGAAAAAAGAATTAAAATGCAAAAGAAAAACAGCAAATGGTACTCACGTATTACACCAGACATGTACCTACTGTCCGGGATTAGGTCCCTAAACCCTAAGCCCAAAGCCCTTACCCTAACCCTAACTCCTTGAAATAATCCTAATAAATAGAATAGGCACGAACATTGCTGACGTGTCCAGTGTAACCCTTATTACCGCTTCGAAAAATAAAATACTAATAAAAAACATTTCTATGTAATAATGCAAATTACTGATGAAAAAAATATATATGTATGTCAGTTCGCATTTGTAAATCATTTAGACCTTATAGTTACGAGGAACCGAAATATGAAATATATTTATCCATAATTTGAATAATTAAATTGACCAAATTTGCCAATAATAGAGTATGGCAGAATGTGACCGATGTAATGCATTCTTACTAAATTTATAAAATACAAAATACACAAAACATAACATCTCAGCACCCCGTAATACAAATAAATATGAGTGTATTAGTGAAAAAAGAAAAATATTTCAAACTGGTGCTTGCAAAAAATTGCGCATCCTCCGCTGTACAACTACTGGAAATCCTCAACATCGTTGGGCTTATGCAGTGACAAAGCTAGTAGAGATGAAACATCAGTGAGCAGAGCTTATTCGCACTCGCTGAGCTAGACAACCGTGTTGCTATGCAGGCGTCATAGGGCATTGTTTCGAGAACGTGTTTTCGAACAAAATCACATGTAATTACGTAAAAGGGTATTATGACGTACGCCATCTGGAACACTTGCCCAGTAACCATGGTAACCCATGCTGTAATGAAAGGTGCTTAAATGGGTCATTTGGTCATCTTTCTGGCAGTTCTACTTTGCCAACACAGGTTGGCTAATTCCAATATGTTTGACATTTCGAGTTTTTATATGATAAATATGTTGCTGTTCCTTAGTTCTGCTAACTTCTATGAAGTTCTAACGTGATTCCGTAACATACGTACATATAAATATCATGTGATATCTATACAATTTCTAATTGGTTGTAAGCGACCAACATGTTACAGAAATCATTCACAATCACACTATATAATTGAGTTTGAAAACACTAAAATGTTGGCAAAAATATTGGCTGGAATAGAGACCCATTTTATGTTAGCTTCTACGTACCCTCTCACTATCCATCTTAACGGTAGTGTAAACATTACTCTGGCAGTGAATTAAAACTTTTTAGCTTTTGTCATATAAGGTAACATCTGTAAATTCTACCTTCAGATACTGAATGAAATCAACAATGTCCTATATGGGAAGCCGGCCAATATACAAGCTCGTCATGGCATCCATAGTCGTCTAGAGACCCTGGAGAGCGTGGGATGCGCACTCGACGACATCCACAACAGCCCCGACGTCCTTCTTCTCACCGAGGTTCAGGTGTTCAAGGCTGTCCAGAAGTTGCGCAAGAGGCATCTGGATGTAAATGTTGAAAGAGTCAAGATCGCTCATCTGCGTTCAAAAGGAGATTTTCAGAAACTTGTCCAAGATCACCAGAAGAAGCAGAGGCATGAAATATCAAAATTGTTGCAGTGTTCAGTGGAACACTGTGAGGCCTTAGGGAAACAGTACCCATTCCTGAAATCAGAAACTGCAAAACGACTCGCGCCCAAGATTGACTATCTTCTCTCAACTGGCATCACGCTGGATGAAGTCCGGGAAAACTGCTTCATCCTTAAAAGGAAATTGGATGATCTTGCTGAAGTGGCATCAGGAATTCAGAAAATCCGGTGCGGCAAAGTGGGAACATTTGACAAAGAATCAAGAGAACTTTTTCTTGACACTGAAAAGCTGCTTCTTTATTCAAGAGAAAAGACTGACAAGAAGCAACAGAGATGTGAACACGTTGCTCGGTTGTTACAAGTAGATATATCCCAGCTGGATGTTAAGTATTGTGCAGTGCCACTGAAGACAGTTTTGCTGAAAATAATATTCCTGTTGGACCAGGGCATTAACAAGAAGGATCTTCTGAACCATCTCTACCTCATGCAGATCAGTCTGTCTACACTACAACGAACTGTCAAGACAGCGCACAATGTAGGTCTGACAAAATTCACTGCAATGTCTCTCATCAATATCCTGCAGCATAGAACAATCTCACCCAAACCAGGCAAAGCCAGACACCATAATTTCGTTGCCCGTCAGCTGGATTTGCCCAAAACTGTGTTTTCAAATCTGGGACCACGTTCGAATCTCGTTTTCTCCCGGGACAAATCGATATTAAAAGCAAACATTGATTATCTGAAGAGTAAAGGGTTCTCCAGTAGAGATATACATGACTGTGTGTTGGTTATTGGACATGAGCCTGATGTATTGAAGTCATATCTGGAATCGATGTCCGAGAGGCTGGAGGTCCAACAGTATGAGATCATAGACAATGTGGTGGTATTAAATGCTGTACAGTACTTCATTGAGAGGGATGGGAACTTTAACTGTAAGGAACAACTTAGTGATGTGAAGGAGTATGTGGCCCCTGAGAGCTTGGCCGACCTGCACGAGGACGACTCAACGGGGGACGACTCACCTCGATAAAGACAGTAGCAGATCTGGGATAAAGGCATTAGATTGAATCCTTAATCATACTCTTTTGTTAATGATTGTTTGATTGGCATTCTAGAAGTTGGCAGGTCAATAACGAAGCATACAACTTAATGGATAACAGCTATATCAGGGGTTCAAAAATCCCATCGCAGAACGCCCGGGACAAGTCAGTTTTCATTTCGGGCAATCAAATAATGGTATCCTACTTGTTATGGTTTCAAACTGCAAATAAACTTGGATTTAATTTCATATCTGCTCAAAATGTAGCTATTAAATTTCCCAATGATACTAAAATAGAGTTATCTTTCTTTGCTATTTATCACTTTTCAATAAATCTAATAGTCCTGTAAACATAAACATCAAATACCATGTTGATTTATTCTTTCATAATTACATCATCATGATTATTTCATAAAATCAGGGCTAGTGGAAAATTAGTCAGGGCAAGTTACTTTCTTAAAGTCACTTTCCCTGTGGCAATTGACTGTTTAAAAAAAATTTGAACCCCTGTGTATACAGATACAGCTGTATAGATTCTTACACTGTTATTTAGCTTGATAACGGTGTAAGAATACACACCATAACGTCACTCTATGCAATAAACAAGAAGTTGTTACCCATAAAGTCATACGCTTTATTATACTTTTCTTACTGACATATTTGCAACTGTTGTCAAGTTGAAAGGCAAATACTACCAAACACCCCTTACCTCCAAAACAAGCAGATACATGTTTATTTCAATGTGTCAGCACTTTTTAATGTTGATGCAGTAGCAAACCAAATTTGTGAATATTGATGCAGACATGTCAAAGGACATTTACATGTACTACGTTTACAGTATTCAGATTACAATAGTTTAGATAGACAATGAAAGTACAGAAGATTTAGTTCATGGCAGTTAATGAATGGATCAGCTCAGTTCATATTTTACAATGCATAAATTGATTAATTGCAGATCTGCATAGATGACTTTCATCCATACACATTAAATAATCATGATAATAAGTGGTTATCAAATTTTCAGCATCCCAAGTGAACAGGGTGGTGGGTAGCTGAAGACACAGGTTCGATTCCCCATATTTCTGGTGTCAGGCACCGTGATATTGCTGGAAAATTGCTAGAAGCAGCGTAAAACAAAACCCACTCACTGACCCAAGTGAACACCTGACCCTGCAAATGGTGAAGATCAGTTATATAAGGGCCTTGCTCATCCACTCCCTTCCAAGAAATCCTGGGTGTGTTTCAGCCATGTTAGATCAGTGTACTGTGCTTGATGTGGGACAGGGGGTTCAGACTGATATTAATGTGTGATTTCTTGTCAAAAACATGAACATTTTGTGTGAGTAGTTGGACAGGGTAATAAAAATTAGTGACATCTTGTTGCTTGAGTTTGTCGTGTTTTTTGGACTTTCTTGGTGCAGTTTGGCTGTGTTTCAATCAATAGCCATGTTTTGTCAGGATAGCAATCAGTGTTTAAAATTTAAAAAATGGGCCAGATTGCATCAGGTCTGACAGTTTTTCAGCAGCTCCAGGCCCCTACTAAATGTTTCAGCACCTCTGTATTTTTCTTACAATCAGCCTGTACATTCCAGATTTCATTGCTTGATTGCCATTCTAGAAGTTGTAGAGTCAATATAAATATGAACAGAAATGTCACTCTATGCAATAAACAAGAAGTTGTTATCCATAAAGTCATATTCTTCAATGTTTAAGATGTGGATGTGCTACCTACCTTATGGCCTAGTTGTAAACTGTTTGCTCATCACGACGAAGACCCGGGTTCGATTCCCTACATGTTTACAAAGTGTGAACCCCATTTCTGGCGTCCCCTGCCGTGATACTGCTATAATACTGCTATAAAAGTGTTGAAATCTATGCACACTCACTCTCTACTTTGTCACACCACATATTTTGTGTGCAGCTCTCATTGTTAGAGAAAACATGCTTTTACAGTCAGAGTGAGTGAGTGAGTTTAGTTTTACGCCGCACTCAGCAATATTCCAGCTGGACCAGACAATCCAGTGATCAGCAGCATGAGCATCGATCTGCGCAATTGGGAACCAATGACATGTGTCAACCAAGACAGCGAGCCTGACCACCCGATCCCGTTAGTCACCTTTTATGACAAGCATGGGTTGCTGAAGACCAATTCTATCCCTGAACGCAAAGGTAACCACGGGTGATCAAGGGCCAAGGCTACACAATTTTAATCTCAGTTGACTTTCAGTCCAGTGAGGTGAAAAACACAAATATGTCTGACTGAGCATAATATCTTCACATTTAATCAGTAAAAAGCCAGTGTACAAATACTCTGATATACAGCATGAAGTATATACACAGAATCACCAACATGAAATGAAAGCACGAAAATACAATCAGCTGAGAAATCAACATATACTAGTAGCTGAAATGGCACATACTGTAAGTGGTTCAGTCAGACAGTTATATGCCGGCGGTCTGTAAATAATCGAATCTGGACCAGACAATCCTGGGATCAACAGCATGAACTTCGATCTACGCAACTGGGATAGGATGACGTGTCAACCAGTCAGCTATCATAACAGATTGTGTCCTACTACTCAGTAGATATGTTTCAGGGAGAGGTCATTTAAGAAAACTCTTGCATACAAACAATATTGACAGTCAACATTGAATTCCTGCTGGATCAGTTTGTACCTAGAAAGACTTGAAATTAACAAGACTTGTTACAGGTCAGTCAACAGTTTGTAGCTGTTACATGACTGCAGAAACAGGTACGGTGACGTGAGGTGAAATTGGGTTTAACGTCGTGCTTGAGAATATTTCGCTCATATGACGACGTGAATGCGTTTGTATGTGTATGTGCGGCTGCTTGTACTAGCCCAGACTGAAGCTGGTTTTATAGTGCTAGCCCATTGAAGCATGAATACCCCACTCAGACACATTATACTGACTCCGAGCCGACCAGTCCTTGTTGTACCCATTAATGCCGAGCGCCAGGCAGGGACCAACAAGTACCATATTTTAACGTCTTTTGGTATGACGCGGTCGGGGATCAAACCCGCGACCTTCCGCTCTCTGGTCGGACGCTCTAACCACTACACCACGGAGGCGGTCTGACTGCAGAAACAGAAGACGTGCAGCTACTTCAACAACAACCTGAAGTCAAAACCTTTGTTTTCAGGTCACTTCATGTACAGAGCCACTGACCCATTTCCCGGAAAGGGAATACAAATACATCAGTATTGTGGCTCCCACACAGTACGTAATAAGTTTCAAATCATGTTCACTTCATAGGGCCCAAAAAATAAAAGGGCTACACAAGTTAAGCACCATATTATTGTTCATCCTTTGGATAAATGAATATATGTCAGGCTGGCAAGTTTAAGATCAGTATTTTGTCAATATTCTCAGTATGCCTGCAGAATTGATACAGCATTTGCATTCTTTCACAACATATTGTAGTTTGGTGACAACAAACCCAAAACAAGTCTTATTACCAACTTGATGTGGGTTGAAATTGCAATTTGAAAAGCAAGGTCATAAAGGGAGGTAATAACAAAACAGTATGGCTTCTTGTGCATGCAAAACAGCTTAATAAAGTCTGTAAATGTTTTAATCATTTATTGATATTCCTTTCAGACTATAACTAAAATTTAACAGCCCCATTGGTTTGAATTAGGTTATATATTTCACAGGTTTGGTCACATGATATTTAGGGTTTTACGAGGAGACAAAACAACAAAATCTTCACTAAAAAAGAAAATGCTAACAATTTAACTAAATAATTCACCTAAACAGTATACTTGGAAATGTTTAATGATATTAAAGCGTGCTTTACTCACAAAAAAGGCATGAAAAATGGAGCTTTTTAAACGAATCAATAGTCAAATTTCAAATAGCATCATTTCAATCTAACACAGGAACTACATTTTTCTGAAAAAATGATCTATCTAAACTGAGTACAATCTGAATGCAGCCCACAGAGACAAACTGTTTATTGTGTTCTGTCATGGGGGGCACTAAGCCCAATTCAGTGCTTGTGCAGACAATACTGTGGCCTGAAGCAGCGTGTAGAGAAGACAGCCACAGCTGTGACACATGTTGCACAAGAGACCCGTGAAGATCCGGGTTAAGAGGTGACTAACGGGATCGCGTGGTCAGGCTCACTGACTTGGTTTCATGCGTCATCATATCCCAGTTGCGTAGAATGATGTCTGGTCCAGTGAGTGAGTGAGTTTGATTTTACGCCGCTTTTAGCAATATTCCAGCAATATCACAGCGGGGGACACCAGAAATAGGCTTCACACATTTTACCCGGGCCTTCGGAGTGACGAGCGAACGCTTTACCCACTAGGCTACCCCACCGCCCCTGTTTGGTCTAGACTCAATTATTTACAGACCGCCACCATATAGCTGGAATATTGCTGAGTGCAGCGTTAAACAACAAACAAACAAACAAACATAAGAAATATTGGTAATGTAATTCAAGAACTCATAGCTTTAAATTGTCAATGGTTTCTTGCTGAGAGCAGACATTGCTTGACTCTTCTCTTGAAGAAAGTACTACACTGCAATCTGGCTGTCTGTGAGTGAGTGTTGGTTTGAGCCATTCACCTGGGTAATAAATCCGGGGCGACGAGCAAACATAATCACTTGGCTACCATATAGAGTGAGTGAGTTAGTTTAGTTTACTGCCATTTTTAGCCATATTCCAGCAATATCACAGCAGGGACACCAGAAATGGGTTTCACACATTGTACCCATGTGGGGAATTAAACCAGGGTCTTCAGCATGACAAGTGAACGCTTTAACCACAAGGTTACCACATTGATCCAACATCGTCATATGAGCGAAATATTCTCAAGCACGACGTTAAACCCAATTTCACCTCACCTCACCTCACATTGATCCAGGTACTGTTTGATAAATACCTCTGAAACTGTCAATTTCCCACTGTGTCAGTGGAGATAATTTAACACTAAATATAATCAATTGGTGTAAGTAGGAAAACAAACAAATTTATGGATCTAATCAAGATATACACTTTTTAATTGGTATCCAATCAGCCTGTCACAACTTTTAGATCTTCTTACTGTACATCTGGCTTCAATATTCATTTGTTAATATTTATTTGCTG